ACTGCGTGAGCAACTGCAGGCCAATGCGGATGAACTGCAATCTAAGTTGGATTCAGTGTGCCGCGAGCGTGACGAACTGCGTGAGCAACTGCAGGCCAATGCGGATGAACTGCAATCTAAGTTGGATTCAGTGAGCCGTGAGCGTGACGGACTGCGTGAGCAACTGCAGGCCAACGCGGATGAACTGCAATCTAAGTTGGATTCAGTGTGCCGGGAGCGTGACGGACTGCGTGAGCAACTGCAGGCCAATGCGGATGAACTGCAATCTCAGCTAGCCACACTGAGCCGCGAGCGTGACGGACTGCGTGAGCAACTGCAGGCCAATGCGGATGAACTGCAATCTCAGCTAGCAACAGTGAGCCGCGAGCGTGACGAGGTGTGTGAGCAACTCTGTGCTAATGAAGAGTTGAATTTGTCCCGTTTAGGTAGTGGTAAAGTTGAAGATGGTTTAGATAAACGACCTTTGGAAGTTCTAGCCTCCGACTTGAGTGACCCTCGTGGTTGCGGTGTGGTTGGTGGTGTAGAATCTGTTGATGCGTTGACTGCTTGGGAAAAGCGGTTAAATGAGTGGAGTTGCACTGTTCGTGTGAAGGAGAAGAAACTACTTTCTGCGGCGTATAAGATGCGTGAAAAGGTCAAGGAATTGGATGATCGTGAAAAAAAATTGAAATTGGATAGTCAAACTTCGTTTGTGAAGCCAACTGTAACTGAAAATATTGTACAATCTAGTAGTAAATCTAAAGCTCGTGGTGGTTCATCTGGTGGAACTGCAGAAGAGTCCAAATTAAAAGATGATTCACCTTATATTGTGGGAGGTTCTTCGCAGGAACGGTTGCTTCGTGCTACTGAGGCGTATAGAGATTTATTATTTCAACATATTCTTGAGGATTGTGGTGCAGATGTACCTCTCCCTGAAGTAAATCTTCAGTCTTTTCCAAAGAATGAAACTCCTTTAGAGCGAACAATCTCTATGCTTCAGAAACTTGAACGTTTTTGTAGTTCATGTCGAGATGAGAGTAATGTTAACATTGATTCTGTGACGTCTTGTCGTCGTGATGGTAGTGAAAATAATTACCGTGAGCGTAGTTTGGAAGCCTTTAGACGTCTGGAGAGGGCTATGGAGGCACTCTCATAGTCTTTGGTTTTACCGTATCGAGTTATTATTATTATTATTATTATTATTTTTTTTTTTTTTGTTATTGGGTGTTTTATCGTATATTTATATTATCTCAGTTGTTCTTTTTAAATTATTTTAGAGTGTTTTTCAGTTTTGGCTGAAATTTTAATATTTTATGTGAAGAGTTTTCTTGTAGTTTTTCTATTCTTGTATTGTATTTTTTTTTTTTTTTTTTTGTTTCTTTTTTTTTTCTCTAGTATTGCGCTAGACGCAATAACAAAAAGAAAAAAAAACTCTGGAAAGGGATATTACAATATAGTAGACTATGTATGCAAATAATCTCTTTAACAATGGTGTCTCCAAACTGATGTGTGATGCACCTATAGATGATGTTGTAACGCATGATGATAGTGATGTGAAGGTGACGGCTTTGCTGCATCGTGTGCGGTCTGCTCTTGAGGATCATCAAGTGACTGAGATGATGAATCAAAGGGCCTCAGATAGTTGTAGTAATGAAGAGGTTTACATGCAGGCGGAGAATCCATCAAAGTTGCGAGAAAAGTATCGAATGCGTCTTCATTATCTAGAATGGTTACATCGATTCGTGAAACAACAGCAACATGTATTGTTTACATTGCAACAAATAACCGATGATCCGCAGTTCAAACTCTCTAGTGAGCAGAATACATTACAGAAAGATCCTGAATTTTTGGATTCGCTGAGGATAGAAAAAGTGGAGTGTGAAACGAGTATGAACCACATGACACCTACTTTGCATGAAACGAATGAACAATGTAGTCCTTGTAGAGTTTCGACGTTACAAGTGGACCCAGTGAACACTGTTAAATCTTCAGATAGTGTTCCACAGGGAATGGATGATAGTGGAATGAGTTCTGTTGAGCAGAAGATGTTAGAATCAGATATTGATTGGCGGAATTTTCGCACCTGGCAACCTTCACAGGTCTCTCTTCTTGCGAATGTTACGCAGCCGTATGGTGGGGAGAAGTCCCCTGTACGGCATATATTGTGTCTATCAACCGTTGTGTGTGAGAAACCGCGTGGGATACGTGCGAAGGATGCTGCTTTGCGTGTGCAGGGTAGATATTGTAAGAGTTGTTTATCACCACTAGAGAAACAACGTTTTCCATTTCCAAGTTGGAAAGCCGCACGATTCTGTTATTACACGGGAATGTATTATTGTACTAGGTGTCATACAGGGAAAAAGAGTATTATCCCGGCACGTGTATTGCATTCATGGGATTTTGAACCAAAACCTGTTTGTAATGAAGCCCTTGATTTCTTAGAGTTGCAACGTGATCGTCCACTTTACTTTATTTCTGCCGTAAATCCTTCACTTTACCATCATGTACAACTCTTATACATGTTACGATTCATGCGATTGCAGGTAGTGGCATTACGTGAAGTGGGTGTCCAATGTCACGTATTTCGTCAACTATTTTACGGTGAAGATGCGTTAGAACCATTGACGTCTCAAGGGAATAATACGGGAGTTGTCGTCTCATCTACTTCAACAGATATTACTTCTTATAAATTACACATTGAGTCTTTTGTACCGCAAGAGAAGCGATATATGATGGAGGATAGTGAAGTATGGTCCCTTGCAGATCTTGAGGATATATGGAGATGTGAGAGTGAAGAATTTATGAGACTTCTTACACCTCCATCCAAGTCTCTCATGGAAGAATCCGCATACAACCGCGTACTCACAGTGGTAGCTGGTAAATGTAAGACCGCATTATTTCTTAAGCATCTTAGGGCACATATGGTATATCATATTCTACAAAAACGTTGTGCTATTTGTGTTCAAAATAGTCTCGATCTCTGTCGTTATTGTTGCCCATCAGATATATTGACATTGTTTGAGAAAAGGAAAGAAGAAGAAAAATTACAAGTTCAAAAAGAAAATGCAGGTAATCCTACATCATCTTTATTTACTATTTCTTCTTCTTCTTTATTTTCATCTCAAGACTCTTCAGAAGAAAGACCTGTTATTGTACCACACCTTTATAGTGTTTGGTCATTTGATTTGGTACATGTTCGTGCATGTCCAAGTTGTGGTGCTTGTTATCATAAACGCTGCTTTTACAAATTACAACAAGAGATGTCAGGAGTAATGTGGTGTAAACGTTGCGCTCCAAACTCTCCAAGTAATAGAAGTCGTAATAATAGTAATAGTAGTAGTGATAAAGATAGTAGCAATAACAAAAACGGTAGGACTAATGAAAATGGTGTAGCAGATGGGTCGATATGTTCCCATCCCAGAGAATAGGATGATCTATTACTATCAAGTATCAGGTACCACATACACAAATGGAAGTTGAACATAAGAATGAACATTAATTGTGAGTTTGTTGCCGGAGTTGTTGCTTTTTTTTTTCTTTTTTTCTTTTTCAGTTGCTGGGGTAGCAACTTTGTATATTTTTATTTGTTTTACCTTATTTTGGTTCTATCTATCTATATATTTACTTGCAAACTTCTTAGTGTGGCTTGGCTTTTCTGGTAAAAAAAAAAAAAAGAGAAGAGACTGGAAAAGGTTCTTACAAGGTCAATGATAGCCCTACAAGATTTTTTTTTTTTCGTTGTTGTTGTATTATGTTATTATATTTGGTTAAAAAATGCAGTATATGATGTTGTATGGCATTTTAATCACATGCTCTCTCCATAGTGGAAGCAATATGAAGTTATCATTTTTTATTTTATTTTATGATTCTAGATTTTGTTTCTTCTTTTGTTTTTTTGTGTTTTTCTTTCTTATTATTTGTTTCCTTTTTTTTTTTTATGGTGTACAAGAAGACTTTAATTAGATGAACGCCGATGAGCGGATTGATCGACTGCGAGAAGAGTTGCAAATCACCCGTCACCAGTTGAGTTTGGCGCAAGCTGAGGCAACACACTACCGACGTCTTTTATTGCAGCAGTCGTTATCACCACAGCCACTTGAAAAGAAAGAAATAGAGCAGATGATGAATGTTAATACACTACAATTTTCAAACTACCAGTTGGACAGTACTTTAATGAATGAGAAAAATGATCATAATTATAATGATGATGATATAGATAGTGACAATGATGAGAATGTAGATCATGTCTCTTCTCCGGTATTTCGTCAGTCGTTAATAGGGCCATCCAGGCCGTGCCATTCTAATTACGGCAATCATGAGAGAAATGTGGTGTACAAGTTTGTCCCACCGCTAGAGTTTTTACCAGCCGTATTTGTCGCGGAGTACCGTGATGTTATTGAGATTATCGAAAAGTACGCACAGTTATATCACCGGTTTGCAGGCGATAATACGCTGTCCGTATCTCAGTAGTTGCAACAGAAGTAAAAGTATGAATCTACCTGTATTTATTCTGCTGTGGAAGCATACACGTACTTACATATTACATGAGTCCTTTTTTTTTTTTTTTCTTTTTCATTATTTTGTTTATTATTATTATTATTGCTATTTGTTTGAATATTCTTTTTTTTTTTTTTTCTCTTTTTTTTTCTTATTTGTCTCATCTGGGATGATGTAAAGAAAGCAGACAGCAGAAGGCAAGAGATAAAAGAAAAAAAAAAAATAGCTGTAAGAAACGTACATCTAACTGTAGTAAAAAAAAAAAAAAAAAAAAAAAAAAAAAAAAAAAAAAAAAAAAAAACTCAGTTTAGGTGGGTAATAATAATAATAATAATAATTATTATTATTATTATTTTATTAAACAACAGAAATTAGATCAGACTAAGTGCGAATTGAAAGCTAGACACGATCGTACAAATAACAAAAAGAAAAAAAAAAATGATATCTCCACACTATTCTGTGGTGGCTTCAGATGACGCCGTGTCATCAGTTCGCTACAACAATCTTCTTGCGCGTATTATTGAACTTGAAGGTCGACAGGAAGAACGTGAGAGGTACAATAATGTTGTTGCTGCTCGTGTGGCACACGACTCGATGGACATAAGGCCCCCGAAAGAGAATACGCAAAGCTTCAGGGCAAATCCTCCACTTGGCCGATTTTCCAGACACCTCAGTGATGTTGGAGGAGATAATGATGATAAGCAGATTTCACAGTGTACCGCTATTGTTCGGGCAGTCATGTTACGGGTGGATCGCCTGGAGAGGCAATTAGCACAGATGGAAAAGAAATATGAAGCGCTTCAGCAATCCTTTAGGGCTCAAGAAAAAGAATTAAAAGAGTTGAAAGAAACAAAAGGAATTGATAGCCTATGCAGGGATATCCCTCTTGGTATAAACAACAGTGTAAATGGAGACCCAATGGCCAAACGAATTTGTACAGTTGTAGATGATCGTATGGCGAAATGGAGAGATGATGTCCTTGCGGAAGTTGCTGTCATGATAAAAAAGGGTTTTCAGATTGATAAAGAAGGAGGAGAAAAGGGGAAAAAAAGACCAGGCAGCGGTGTTGATGGTAGTGACAATGGTGATGGTAATAACTGTGGTGAAAGAGGACGTATCCTTACGGCCCATCCCCCGTCAACCAACAACTGCAACGACTGCAATAGCAGTAATAGTAATAACAGCAAGAAGAGTATCCATAGTGGGAATAGCAATAGTGATAAGACTAGTCATAACGGCGGCGGGACTGCGGGGCCCATCCCCCCCGGCCGGATCCTTGAGCCCCTCATCCATCCCCGTATTCCCCAACCTCGAGCTCAATCTCAACCTCAACCTCACGAGGTTCAACTGCCGCCGGTCCACGGGGGAACAGTCACATCTCCGCCGGTTGATGGAATTCTCGCCCGGTCCGGCAGCAAAAGTCTTCAGCGGGGAAGCCTCAGTTCACTCGGCAGCAACACGGGCGGAGGAGCGCCGGGAATGAGTGTGAGTTTCTCATCACAGCGAACTACCGCCCAGCGTCTTCATACCCGAGGAGGGAAAAAACAGAGTGAACGCAGTCTCTCCGGCTCACCCGTGATTGAATCGGATGTCCGTGTTGTTAACGAAAATGAGAGTAACAAGAGTCTCTGCAATACCTTAGGCAGTTGTGTGGCACCGTCTAGCAACACAATAGCAACAACGGTGAGTCGCCTACCTTCTGTGAAAGTGGGTCGCTTTAAGAGACAACGGTGTTTGCCAAAACCCCTCGACTGTGAAGTGCTTATGGCCGCACAAGAAGAATTTTTGAAAATACAGATGCGACGCCTGGCTGAAATGCTGGAAGCCGAAGAAAGAGAACGGGAAGAAGAAGAGGAAGAAGAAGAACAGGAGGAGGGGGAGGAGGAGGAGGAAGAAGAAGAAGGAGAGGAAAGAAGAAAGAAGGAAATAGAGGAAGAGGTGTTAGATCAAGGAACCCCCAATAATCCACCGTCACTACCCCACAATCTCTCTCACGTAATGGTGCCGAGATCATCCTTTTCCTCTGTGCCACTCCAACACTCAAACGAAAGACTTCCACCCTTTCGGCGTCATTCAAGTCGACAATTTAATAGAGTAAATACGGGAGTAACTTCATCATGTAGAACCGGTGCTCCTACAACCCTTACTGGGAGTAATACCACTCTCAGCGATGTTACTGCTGCTGCTGCTGCTGCTGCTGCGGCGGCGGCGGCGGCGGTATCGCGTGCAGGTACAGCCCCACAAAGATTATAAAAACTTCTTGTTCTTATGTTTTCTAATAGCATTAACATCATTGATATCTACAATTCTGTACTAACACTAACTCAAGTACTGAGAATGCTCCGCTTCCAAGGATAGCATGCATTTGGGTCACACTCAGTTCTGTTTTTTTTTTCTATATATGCAGATTTTTGAGCACCTCGCAGTTTTTTTTTTCATTTTGATACTTTTGATTGCTGCGATCTGTTAAATATAATTTTTTCTTTTTCTTGAAAACTAATTGGTTTACAGGTGTTCATATGGTATATAAGAAAATCTGTTAACTTACGAATATTGTGAGTTGTAGTTCACGTTTTCTTGGTTTTGATGATGAACACTATATTGTTGTTTTATGATTTTAACTGTGAGATTGAAAAATAATCAAAGGCTAACAAATAATCGACGAGAATTAAACTTTTTGTGTTATTATTCTACCTTATGATTAAAATGCTGATGATGTTTTTCCTCTTTTTTTTCTTTTTCGTCTGCATACAGAATTCATATATACCTATATATAAACTCTATATGTATACTTAATATTTATATACGAACAACGTAATTAAACAAAAAAAAAAAACTAATATATAAAAATAATATATGGCTTGCACCTGTGTTTGGGCAAGCAAAATATAACGAAGACAATGCCATTCTTTGTCGTTGAAGAGAGTTATTATTATTATTATTATTATTATTATTATTATTATTATTATTACTTTACCCTTTTGCAATGTATGCGTGTGTACGTAGTGGTTGTGGTGGGCAGATGATGCAAAGAGTGGGAAAGGAGTTTAACTGTGCATGCGGCATAGCAAAAACGTGAGAAACAATCCATATTATTTTTCGTTTGGTGAGTGCACAGAAGGGCATATGAATAAGTATCACGTATATAATATAAATATATATATAGTTTGGTTTATGTTTATATTAATAATTATTATAATATTGGTATGTTTTTTTTTTTTTACAGATATCAATGTTTTTGACTTAATATTTCGAAAGAAGGATCTTACGAACGGAAGTGTTAAATTGACCGGTGAGGGTAAAAAAAAAAAAAAACGAGTGATGGCAGGGGAATTACCATAAAATGGCGAATAAAGACGACGGTTATAGCAACAACAGATCAGAAGTTTCACTAAACCCTCTTTAGAGTTCTTTATATATATATTATAAATATATATATAATTTTTGATGTATTGCAGTGCGTATATCCCTCTGGTGGGTAAACGAAAAAGAAAAAAAAAGAGATCTGGTGTAAGTAGAAGACACAAGTATCTGATATCTGTATCTGTATATATATCCATATATATATATATATATATATATATATATATATAATTACAAATACACTCCCATTTACATAATATTATAGAATGATATTATGAGTAACAGTACAATTGTTATTTGAATTATTGTTCTTTTTTTTTTGATTATCCCTTTTTTTTTACTGTTTTCCTAGTTTTTTCTTTTTTCATTTCCAGATTTTCCTTTTGAGTTGGGAGTTTATGCAAATGATTATGCACTCCTTTTTTTTCATTTCTTACTTTAATTTCTTCTTTTTTGTTTATTTTGTTGTGGAGTTGTATGAGTTTTCATATGATGATCTACTTGGGACGTGAATGAAAGTCTTTGTGAAAAGATGTAAAACGCGTTTTATGATTTAATACGGTTTAAGGTGAAGAAGTGTATTTTGTTTCTCCTACTACTTTAATATATATATATATATATATATATATGCGTGTGTATTTTTCTAAATGAAAACGAAAAAATGGAAGAACGTGTGTCTCTGAGAGGCCTAGTTCATAGCTAACATGAACGTGAATACAAATGGATATCTTTTTTTTTTTTTCCTTTTTCCATCACTTTATCACCAATTATTCCTTTTTGGGACTGGAGACTTTGATAGTTCCTAATATTATAGTTTTTATAGTTCCTGTATTAACTCCATTTGCCATGAATTTTAATTTCATTTGATTATGTTTTTTTTATTGTTGTTTCTTTGTTTCTTTCTGTCTGTTGATGATTTTTGCTATTACAGCAGGTTCTGTACTTTCTTCATGGTCTTATTGAGTGATAACTCTCTTTTTTTCTCTTCGTACATAATGAGAAAAGGTGATTACCCTTTTCATCTTTGTTTTCATTTTTTTTTTCCTGTTTTTTTTTCCTTCAACTCTTTTTCATTTTTCCACAAAATTGCGGTAAATGGGGTTTTCAACAGAAAAAAATTCTGCTTAAATTATTGAATTCTTTTAAACGCCTTTGCTTTTCTTTAGAAAAGGAGGAGTGGGGGTGGGGGCACTCATCACTTATTTATTTCCTTCTTGGTTCTTGCGTGAGCCCTCGTTCTTCCCCTTTCTTTTCGTTTATTTTCAAAACATTCTTCTTGTTACTCTCATTTCTTTTCTCTCTCATTTACTTTAATGTACACAAGCTCGATAATGGCTGACGGTTGTCTTGTTTCGCGGCCGTGATGTCGGTGTTTGTGTGAGTGTTGGATGGATGTCTTGTTTTCCTTCTGGGCGGAAGTTCGCAGAAACTCCGATATTGAAGAAGGGACGTGCGGCATCAAAGTGAAGGACGCGAAAAGCGTTAAAAGAATAGTGAAAGCGACCGGGGGAGAGAGAGAGAGAGAAAGAGAGAAAAAAGGAGTGAAAGATATATTAAGACAAATAGCGACCAAGAAGGAATATATTTTACTGATCTATTCCATGGGTTTTTCCATACTCCAACAAGAAACAGATGAATAAAAAAAAATACTTTTGCTTTTTCTTTTCTTGGTTACTGTGCTACTCTACTGTTAGGACCTCCTTATATCTGCTTACTCTCTTACTTGCAGACCGTTGGTTGTTGTTTTTTTTTTACTTTTTCATTTGGTTTTTGTAGGATACCCTTCAACAGTCCTAGGAAAGGAGAGTATATAACGTAGTCTCAAGAACACCATCAGTGGCAGCAACAGCAGCGTTATATCAATAATGGATTATTACGAAATTCTTGAGGTTTCCCGTGATGCGACACCGGAACAGATACGCAGCAGTTATCATCGACTTGCCTTGCGTTATCATCCCGACAAGGCCGGTCCAGAAGGCGCGGAAAGATTTAAGGAAATACATGAAGCCTATGAAGTGCTCTCATCACCTGAGAAAAGACAGATGTACGATATGTACGGTAATGTGGCTGGTGATGAGTTGACACAGATGTTTGGAAATACTAGCCCTTTTATAGGCTTGCTTGTATTATTGTTTTTTGCTCTCTTGATTGTAATATTATGCATTATATTCTCTGCATTTATCGCAGCGTATGTGGATGGACGTCTAAGATCCCGTGATGTTAGTACCGTGGATGATCATAGCCGAGCCTACTGGAACTATGTGAAGGTGTTTTCACCAATATTTATAATAGATATCCTTATAGGTATTCCGGCATTATGGATGTTCCTCTTTTCACTCTGTGCCTGTTCAAGAGTGTTATTTTTAAATAGTGCAATAACGCTTTGTTGCATTGTTTTGTCTATTATTATCCCTGTGGTAAAGGATGCAAACGATATGAAGACATTGCGTGGTGAAACTGATTTCCGTTTATGGCACGTTTGGCTTGTACCAATGTATATTGCCATGATTCTGTTTGTGATAAGATGTGTTGTTGCATTTCCGAGTAAAGCTCTGTATGAACGCCTAGTTTCAAGGCAGATGGAGTGGCTTTGGAAATGTGTAAAAATAGAGTATGTGTTCTCTATTCTACGTTGTTTGCCTATGATGGTTTTCTGCGCTCTCATCGCATGCCGTGCTGATGATGTGATTACAACGAATTACTTTGTGGTGGTGGGTATGCCCTTTTTTGTGTGGGCTTTTCTTGTTGTTGTGGACGCCGCAATATGTAAGATACTTCTTTACAAACGAAAAGAAATTGTCTCGACTATTACTCTCAGTGCTTCCATACTAATGCTATTTCTTCTTATTACGGTTGGATTGGTGTCAAAGCGACTAAACGATGTTAGTCGTGTTCATAGTGGTGGTGGTGGGAGTGTCCTTTCACTAGGCCGTGCCCTCATCCCAGTGTATATATTTCTTGGTCTTTTGTTTTTAGTAATTTTCATTATGATATTTCAAATAATCTCTCTTTACCTACTATATATCTCCAGTGTGGCAGATCCCAACCCCGATGGTGCACCTGAGGCTGAGGACACACACTCAAATAGTGCGATGAGGCAAGATGGTGAAGAAACTCAAGATGAGGCTCACAATCGATCTCAGCACGATAACAATGATATTTCAGATGTGCATCATGACAGTGAAACAGTACCTTTAATTGAGGATAATCATAACAATGAAGCTAATTATAACTCTGTAGATGAACAGGGAGCAGAGAGGAGTGGCCAGCCCTCAAGGGAACAAGAAGGGCGTCCTGTAACTCCTCAACGTCGACTCTCCGATATCGATTAACAGCGGGAAGAGAGTAAATGCACAAAGGAAAAAAAAAAAAAAACGGAATGATGTGCTTTTCTTTACTTCCTTATTCTGTTTAAGAACTGATTGTGTAATATCATGAGGGAGCCGATACGAGAGGCTAATGATTGATACTTTGAGTACTGGTTTCACCATATGATCTTCTCTCTCGGTCTTTCTGTGTGTGTTTTTTGATATTCTTGGTTATAATACTGCTTACATTTATGTTTATTTATTAGTGTTGTTATTGTTTTAATAGGAGTTGCGAAAGGAATGATATAGTGTTTTGGATTATATGACGAAAGTGCATGGTATTGCCTTTATCGTCTTGTCTTTTTAGGACCCTTCGCATGATATGAACTTTGAAAGACCATCTAGCTCAACTTAACCTGGTTCGATATGTGTGAGGGCGGCATTAAAGATGTTTTCTAGTATTTTTTCTCTGACAATTACAGAAGGGTCGTGGGAAATAGGATGGTCTTAGTCTCATTGTGGAGAAAGGTTATTTTAACATGTGATTGGAAGAAGTGGAAAACCAAAAAAAGGAAAAAAAAACTATAATAAATTGTTTCCTGTCCTTTTTTAGTCTTTATATTGGGAAAGAGGAAGGTATTCCACTGTTTCCATTGGTATACATGTATTTGGAAGAGATAATGAGGTCTGAAAAGTCTTTGTTCCTTCTAAGAGAGTGATGGAGATACTCTCCTATGTCAACTTTCTTGTTATCTATTGTGAATAGACAGTTCTATTTTCGTGTAAAAGATGCAGAATTACTCCTATTGTGACAATTATCAAGTATGGGGGGTTCGTGCTGTTACTTAAGATCCTAGTGAAATTATTTTTGTTTATGTTTTCCTTTTTGTCTGTTTTGTTTGCATATGGTGTTGTGTCTTCTCGGGCGTTCCTTGCAGGGGAATAAAGTTTAAACATAGATCTAAAGACTGAAGTAATGGTATTTCTTATTCTTGTAATATATATATATATATAT